TGTTGTCCAAACTTGGCCTCTTTAAGATGGGTGTATTTAACCTCCCAGAATGTGCTGGCTGGGGAATTCTGGGAGTTGAAGTCCACACATCTTAAAGTGGCCAAGTTTGGACAACACTGACCTATAGGTTAACTGCGCTGCTCCAAACTGTAGTTTGAAATCCACATCTTTGAATCTCTGCTGCATTCCAACCCCACCCGCATGAAAGAGATCTCTCTGCATAGCAAATTAAGCTGCTGTCAAATTTTCTTTCTGACATCTAGTGTTCTTTGTGAAAGGAAACTTCTTAATGACATAGTATAGAAGAATAGTCACGGAAGCCTCATTCAGGTACAGTGCCACTCCAAATTGATAAGGCCACAGAGTGATCTGCCAAGGTAGAGATAACACTGGCAATTCCTTATGGGGTTATAATCTACCTCACTATCATACTTTGATTATAAAGTGGTGTGTTATGCTCTAGGTACGCAGGCATCGCAGTATCCATGAAGTGGATATATCTGATCTGGAGGCCGCATTACGTTCTGAAGACTCCGGCAAGATGTATGAAAGCCCCCGAGAGGAGATTGCTCGCCTGCGCAAAATGGAGCTAGAGCCAGAACATTATGATGTGGACATCAGCAAGGAGGTGAAATACGTTATTGATTTGTATCTCAGAGCATCAAAAATGCAAACTGCCTCTTTCCCAGTAATATATGCTGAGATCTAGTTGCCTTCTCCGAAAACCAAAAGGTATGTGTGATTGGAGCGATATGAGCTGAAAGTGCCACTAGTTTGTATAAGTGCACAGGACAGGCCCAAGCCCAATGAAAAGTGATCCCGGAACATTGGATTTTAAGGTAACCTGGAGAGAATTTCAGAGCTCAGACATTTTGAGCATGATCTAAGGTGTATATTCTGTAATGTATAAAATACTGGTTAGGGTTAGGGTTAGGGTTAGGGTTAAGAATAGAATAGAATAGAATAGAATAGAATAGAATAGAATAGAATAGAATAGAATAGAATAGAATAGAATAGAATA